ATAATCACAAGGAATCCCGGCAAGGGAACAAGAATAACATAATTACTTCCCGGCAAGGGAACAATGATATCTCAACAATATCCCGACAAGGGAACAATAATATCAAACAAACATCCCGGCAAGGGGACAATTACGATAATAACATGCGAGACATAATAAACCACAACGGAGTCATAACAAATTATAACAAAGTCTTAACGCCCCTACTACTGTTGTGCAGCCTTTCCTCGGGTTCGTAGAGTCGGGTTCCCGTTTACCCACAACGGAGGAGCCGCCCCCACCAGGCAGGCGGCCACGGGTCATAACGCACTCTTCGCACAACAAATCCACTTTGAAGTTGACTTATTCGCTCGGCCAATCGTCGGAATGTGTACGAGATACCATAAGGGCCCAATATCAAAGACTCACGGGCATGCTTGACACCAACGTATAGATACTCGTCACCATGCCTATACGTCGTACTCCACAATTAACACGTAGCAAATAGACACAACTCCTAATCCCTTAAGCTAAGGTTAGACCAAACACTTACCTCGATGCCACGAACAGAATTCACGATTCAATTATAGCTTTACCCCTTGATTCCACCACCAATTCGTTCGTATCTAGTCACAAGTTACTTAATTACATCAATAAACGCTAAATGAATCAACCCCAATGCATGAAAATGAGTTTTCCAAAGGTTTACCCAAAAAGTCAAAAATCGCCCCTGGTCCTACATGGTAAAAACCCGAGGTTCGAACCATAACCCGATCACTCATTCCCCCACGAACTCAAATATATAATTTGTTTTGAAATCGGACCTCAAATCGAGGTCCAAATTCCCAATTTTTCAAAAACCTAGGTTCTACCCAAAACACCCAATTTCCTCCATGAAAATCATTGATTTGAAGTTGAAATCATGTTAAAAGATATTAAGAATTGAAGAAAGTTAGTTAAAATCGACTTACAATTGATTTGGAGAAGAAGAAATCCTTGAAAAATTGCCTAAGTGTGCTTATGTTTTGAGAGAATGTGAAAAATGGGTTTAAAATCGTCTAAGTATAAAAGTTGCAGGTCTCTGATATGGGAATTGCGAACCCCGACCTCTGCTGATATGGGAATTGCGAAACAGGGTTCGCATTTGCGAACCCTTCAGAATTGTTGGACCTTCGCATTTGCGAAAAGAAGGTCGCATTTAAGGCTTCCGCATTTGCGATACATTGATCGCATTTGCGATTAGAGAGGACTTAGGCGGGTGTCTCATTTGCGACGGATTCTCCGCATTTGCGAAGAATGCTGCCCAGGCCACCTCTCGCAATTGCGACGCATGGCTCGCCTTTGCGAGCTCGCCTTTGTGAGACAGGCTTCGCAAATGCGAAGCCTGTAGGTCTGAAACACACCAGCAATTTTTATTGTTTAAAATGCACCCCGTGGCCTATCCAAAACTCACCCGAGCCCTCGGGGCTCCAAACCAAATATACACACAACCTCAAAAATATCCTACGGACTTATTCGTGTAATCAAATCATCAAAATAACATCATGAACATCGAATTAAACCTCAAGATCAATGAAATTTCTCAAAACTTCTTAAACATCAAATTTTGCATTTAAGGTCCGAATCACGTCAAACAGATTCCGTTTCTTACCAAACTTCACAGAATTATCTTAAATCATATATAAGACCTGTATCGGGCGCCGATACCAAAATACTGGCCCGATACAACATGTTCTAATCAAAATTCATTTCCAAACCTTATAAACAATTCCAGAAAATAATTTTCTTTAAAAATTCATTTCTCGGGCTTTGGACCTCAGAATTCGATTCCGGGCATACTCCCAAGTCCCATATTTTTCTACGGACCCTCCGGGACCATCCATAATTCTTACCTCCAAGTGTTCCTCCTCGATTCCCTCTTCAATCCCCTCCAAAAAGCTCTAAAAACGCACAGAAATGGTGGAACTTAGGCTAAAAATCGCGGAATGGGTCTTTTAAAACATTCTGCCCAGCACTTAAAATTCCTTCATCGCGAACGCGGTCAAAGCCTCGTGTTCACGAAGCACAAATTTTTAATTGACCATTTTCCTTCTACGCGATCGCGACACCTAGTACGCGAACGCGAACCCTTGGCTTCCCAACACAGCGCGAACGCGACTCCCCTCCCGCGAACGCGAAGAACAACCATCCAGGACCCCCCATCCGCTCACCTCTTCTACGCGAACACAGCAAGGACCTCGCAAACGCGATGACCATAGAACCCGGCCCTTCGCGATCCGTGACTACCTTCGCGAACGCGAAGGCCAACTTCACAGTATTACAACCTAACCCTTCGCGATCGCGGGACCTCCATCGCGAACGCGAAGGTCAAAAACCTGCAACACCAACAACAGATTTTCTGCAATTTTCTTCAGCTTGAATTGATCCGTTCAACCACCCGAAACTCACCCGAGGCCCTTGGGACCTGAACAACACATGCTAATATATCCCATAACATCATTCAAACTTGTTCCAACCTCCGGAACGCTCAAAACAACATCAAAACACCAAATTTGCATCGGATTCAAGCCTAAGAATTCTAAAATCTTCCAAATTCCGCTTTCGATCAAAAAGTATATCAAACCACGTCCGAATGACCCGAAATTTTGCACACACGTCCCAAATAACACAATAGACCTACTGCAACTTCCGGAATTCCATTCCAACCCCTATATCAAAATCTCACCTATCAACCGGAAAATGCCAAAATTCCAACTTCGCCAATTCAAGCCTAACTCCACTCCGGACCTCCAAAACACATTACGATCACACTCCTAACTCCCAAATCACCTCCCGCAGCTATCCGAATCACCGGAATTCACATCCGAGCCCTATTTCACATAAGTCAATATTCGGTTGACTTTTCCAACTTAAGCTTCCTTAAAAGAGACTAAGTGTCTCAAGCCTTACCAAAACCTCTCCGAACCCGAGCCAACCAACCCGATCACACATAATACAGCTGAACAAAACAATAAGAAGCAAAAATGGGGAAAATGGGGCGGTAATTCATGAAACGACCGGCCGGGTCGTTACATCCTCCCCCTCTTAAACAAACGTTCGTCCTCGAACGAGTCAAGAAACATACCTGAAGTCTCGAATAGGTGAGGATATCTCCTCCGCATCTCCCGCTCGGTCTCCCAGGTAGCCTCCTCCACGGGCCGACCTCTCCACTGCACTTTCACTGAAGCTATATCCTTTGACCTCAACTTTCGAACCTGCCGCTCCAAAATAGCTACTGGCTCCACATCATAAGTCAAATCATCATCTAACTGAACTGTGCTGAAGTCCAAAACATGAGACGGATCCCCAATATACTTTCGGAGCATAGAAACATGTAATACCGGATGCACACTCGACAAGCTAGGTGGCAAAGAAAGCTCATAAGCCACCTCCCCAATCCTCCGAAGCACCTCAAAAGGCCCAATGAACGAAAGACTCAATTTACCTTCCTTCCCAAATCTCATAACACCCTTCATGGGTGAAACCTTCAACAGAACCTTTTCACCAACCATGTAGGACGCATCCCGAACCTTCCTGTCCCTCTGTGTGCAGATTCAGGAGTCTCAGGTCACGCTAGCGAGGGTTGATTTGCTTCCAGCAGGTTGTTTGGAGATGACTAGGTAGCTGCGCGGCGTTCGCAGCACAGTGCTTCTCCTTCTTACTTTTATTTCGCTGTCCTAGTTTCGTAATAGACTATGTTGTCTTTTCATACTCTTAGACTGATTTTAGATGCTCATGACTGGTGACACCCCGATGTCGGGCTGTGTTTTATTTCGCAGTTGATATTTCACTTTGTTTTGGGATTATCATTATTAATGATTTGATTATGAATCATTATGTCTGTAAATTAAACTTGGGGTTTGTGTCGGCTGGCCTTGTCTTCATGAGAGGTGCCATCACGGCCGGGTCTGGGTTTAGGTCGTGACAGGATGAATCTAGGGTTTCCTTGTCCGTTGCCATGATTCAAACGGAGAAACTGTTTCACTATTGAACAGCAAACAGAAATTGATGTGATTTTGCCTTGATCAAGGCGAATTGCAGAAAATCTCGAAGAAAAGAGGGATGAGAGAATACTGATTGAAAACTTGACGGAATGCTATGATTAAACACTGAATCGGAGCATATGCTCTGATACCATGACGAAATGTGAAGGATTAACAATGGAGATGAGCTCGAATTGAGCTTCCATGGGTGAAGAAGGGAGAGATTTTTACTGAGAACCTTCGAGAAACAGATGGAGAGGAAAGATGAGTTTCTTTCTCACTGAAAAATATCTGTACAGTGTCCCTTTTATATGTATACTAATGGCCTAACTAACTCATTACAGTAACAGCCTAACTAATTACAAAACTGGCCTATACAAAATATATGGCTAACTAGTAAATAATCTCAACGGTTGTTCAACTCCTCAATTTGATTATTTTGTGTCAAACTCTTTTCCCTTGGTTAAGAAACTTATCCTTGCGCAACAGCAACCACACTGGATTGACTCAAAAGCACACAGAGAGATGGCCAAGATAAAATTGTCATTACTAGAAAATGAGAGAATTCCGATCGAAATTTCCGACTGAAAGTGTAGTCGGATATTTCCGATGGCTTGGGTTGAAAAATAACAAAAATAATGTTAAATATTTTCTTATAATATTCCGACCATATTCTGACAATGTTAGTCGCAAAGTTTTTGCGAAAAAATCCAGAAAATTTTTTTGCGACCGATTTGGTCGCTGCCTGAAAGTCAAAGGTATTGCCTTTGATCACTTTTCACTTTTTGAGGGAAACGATCGAAAAATAATAAAATATAATATTATTTTTTTAAAAAGTTTCCGACGGATCTGGTCGGAAATCATTTTAGTTTTAAAATAATAAACTGCTAGTAATTTACCGACCAATCGATCGAAAAAAAATAATATTTTGAATTTTAATTTTTTACCGATTGGTTCGATCGGAAATACTTTTTATAACCCAGCCCCCGACCCCTTTCTTCTTTTTTCTTTTTATTTCTCTTTTCTTTCTCTTCTCTTACCCCCTTCACTCCTGTGAATAGTCGGTCGCCGTCACCTACTCAAATTTCTGGCGGTATACCTCTCTCTATCTCACTTTCTCCCTCCCACTCTTCCTTATGCCTGTTGAGACCAGATTCAATTCTAACCCTTTTTTATTTTTTATTTTTATTTTTCAGATAGCATGCATCGCTTCTCTGGAAGCGTGCATCTTCCCCGGCGAGTTAAGTTCTTTCTTCATCTTTTCTCTGGCCTTGAATGTTAATATAATTATTCTTTTTGTTTGTATTGCAATTAAAATTAGTATTTATTTTGTTTGAATACGGATAAGATTAGAATTGAAATTAGGATTGAAATGAAAGAATAATTTATTCTTTAACCTTGAATAACTATTATTTAGAGCCTGAAGTAACATGAAAATTAAGCTTTTTTTTTTTGAATAAAAATTAGAAGTGAATGAAAGTTGAGATATTTTCTTTTTCAATAGGAGTAAATCTTTAATTTGTATTGTAATTTATATATGTTATAAAATTAGGAATAAAACTATTCAATGTTGAAGTAGTGTGTATAATTATAGCTTTAATTTTGATTCATCTTGAAAAGTGCTCCAATTGTATTTTATATTAATTATGTGATGTAGCTTTTTAATAATAGTGAAGTAAACCTATAAAATGATTGTAAGATTAAAGTTTATTAAATATAATAGATTCATTGGTTTGAAATGATATCAAGTTTAAGGTTTCTTGAATATGATGTTTAACGCTTGTTGTTGCTTTTTAGTTTATTAATGAATATGTATAAATATAAAACTTTTTTAGATTACTAAATAAGATGGATAAATATCAAATTACACTAAACTATATAATTAAACTATTTAGATAAGTACCCTTTGAAGAATAAAATTTATTAATTAGTGTAAATAACATAACTATTTTTTAATTTTCTTCTATGTGTCGATGAAATTTGGGCATCGTAGCTGAAGCCTGAATATATAATAGGAATCACCTGAATCGGGATTGCAGGAAGAATTTATAGAAGAGATTGCTGGCTTTATTGCTAAGGCAAAAACACTTTATGATTTCCTTATAGTAAGATGGCTTTATATTCGAGAAGAAGAAACCAACCAAGTTTAATTTATTCTTCTTTTCTGAAGTTTCAAGTTAACCCCGTGTGTTAATGGTTAAATATTGAAGACTTTAAATTTTACTTCTTTCTTATTCTTCTTGATCTTCAATTGGTTTTTTAACTTTCAAAATCGACCCCCGTCTAAATGGTTAAACATTAAAGATTTCACTTTTTTTCGGTTTTTGAACGGTTTCAGCATTCTCTTGTATAAAGACTTGTATATTTTCAAAGGTTTTAAAATTTAGAGAGAAACAAAACTAGCTATATCGAGCAGGACATACTTTGGTACACACAAAATTCTGTCAGGCTGGCAAAACTTATCTTGTTTTCAAGTCATGACAGACGTAAATAACTTGTATAAATTGTTCAGGTCATGACAGAAGTAGGGGATTCCGCTGAAATTTACCAAATTTTACGACTGATTTTCGACCACTTTGATCGGAACCTGTAACTGGGAATTCCCAAATTTACAGCTGAAATGGTCAAAAATTTTTACTTAATTATTTAATTAATTTTATTATTTCGGACTGATTCGGTCGGAAAATTTGAATATAATTATAATTAGTTATTAATAGTACTGACTCAATCGCTCGAAAAATTAATTATTTAATTAAAATTTATTTTTAGATTTGAGACCCATTCGGTCGCAAATGTACCGACCAAAACAGTAGAAAGTTTGGAATTTATTCGGTCAACTCGACTTTCTCAGTTGCGACTAAATTGGTCAGAAGTTTCTCACCAAGTGTGTCACAAATATTTCACGACCATCAATTTTTCCGACCACCTGAAATCCGTCGGAAATATTAGATTTACGACGGATTTAGTGGTCGGAAATTTAACATTCTCTAGCAGTGTAATTTATGCAAATCGACGGACAGCATACCGCACCGTTTGATTTTAATTTCTTCGTAAAAATCTTTCTTCTGTGGTCTTGGTATATACTCACTCTTTTGAATTATTTATAATCTGTATCTTCTTGGTGTAACAATATGTCTGTTTTAGATTGTTGCAAAAAAAAAAAAAAAAAAAATGCAAGATTAGTAAGTATGCTGAGCGAGCTTCGATTGATTAAACCAAAATGGAAAGGTACTTACTGTTTCGTCCAAATTAATAACCATTTACCCTCCATTCAAATGGTCCTACATTTTTCTTTTAAAAATATTATTGTTTTCAATTTGAAAAACTTCATAGTAATTAATGGTTTTCATCTGCCTTCATTCTTGCCTGATATAAGGAAATTTTATCTCCACTTCTTCGGTGAATCACAGCACGAAAAACGATAGAAGTTAAGAAGCAGAAAGAGAAGTCTATTTTCCTTTTTTTCCACTAAAATTGTGTGTAAACAACTCAATACACACAATTGCATATTAGACTCTCACAAACAAAGGAGAATCCATTCATCACTAATTAGAAATGTGTTTTGTTTGTCCATCACTTAATATATTATACGTAAAAGGAGTGGGGTATTGCGGGTAAGATAAAGGGTTTTTGATACATTTGGATAAATCAAAACTAATGATAATAGGCTATAATTACGTATTTTAGTCGATTATTACACTCTAATTTACTGTATTTTAATTGAGTTTGAGCTTTAATCGCTAGTGTCTTGCACTAACTGTGTGTTTTATGCCTTGTAGGAGTGATTCCGAGCTATATAGATGTTATGGAATGAATTCAAGTGATTTGGAGCTTTGAAATCCGAGTTAAAGCCCAAGGATACAAGCCGGGATCGCGTTTGGGGTCAACGGATGATAGTTAGAGCGAACGAAGAATCGAGCAGGCATATTGTGCACTGTCTAGTAAAATAGATATAACTTTTTGCTCAGAACTCCATTTTGGCTCCACAATATATGGTTGGAAAGCCAACTCAAAGGGCTACAACTTTCATGTTTTACGTTTTTCCAAATTCCAAACGAAACAGGGTGAAAAGTGCGCGCCCAGATGAGCGATCGCGCTAGTTTTAGCGCGCCCAGGACAGAAAGTTGTCCAACTAGCGCGACCATTAGCGCGTCCAGATGCGCGACCGCGCTAGTCAAACCCGGGAAAAATGTCCTTTTTCACATTGGAGAAGGCATAATTGTTTGGGCCCAACCCTACTTGGTATATATACATGGAAAAAACGGTATTTTGAGGGGAGATGACGTTTTTAAGAGGAAAACACAAGCACAGTGCCGCCGTGGAGGCCGGATTTCATCTTTTCTTCCACCAAACTTAATAATTTTTATGTTTCTTTGTATGATTTGTTGTTTTGCTACCATGTTTATGTGGAGTTAAACTTCACGTTCTAGGGTTGTGGTTCTTTCATGACTATTGTTATTCGGATATTGATTTTGATTTCTTAGTTTATCATATTGGTTTATTTATTCAATCCTGCGCTTAATTATTTGATTGCTTGATCACCAATTGAATACTATCTACGAATCTACAGTTAAACTCGAAAGTGGGAATTCTAGATTGCATATAGGATTGAGTAGAGCAAGTTCTTGAACCTGGGCATCGGGGAACAAATTTGCAATTAGGATAGACATATACCTAATTGCCTTGCTTGGTTGAAATACAGGAATTATAAATGCGTTCTTGTTGATTCTAACTCCATAGATATATAGGCGTTAGGTTAGCTTGAATAGGCGAGCAAGAACTCGACAGATTCTTATGAGCAATATTAACCCTGTCAACCAATAAACTCGATAAATTAGTTAGTCAATTCAATTGAAGAATACAATAGGAATGTTAGATAGCCCATAACCCTAGATCGTTTTCATTACATTGATATCATAAAAATTTGCTCTTCCTCTGTTTAAAGTTCATTATTTATATTCTTTATTTAATTAGTTTAGAATCAATTACTTCTAGGTTTAATTCTTGTTTAGATAATCAGGATGGTCTAATTTAGTTAATGGTTAATCAAAAGTCCTCGTGGGATCGACATCCGACTTTTAGTCACTTTATTACTTAACGACCGTGTATACTTGCTGTGCGTTTGGGAGCAACAACTAAGGTTAGAAATTTTTAACAAAATCAGAAAACATTAATAACTCTTTTGTTTCGACACAAGAAATAGATTTTCTTACCCCCTTTTCTTGTGTCTTTCAACCAATTACTACAAAGACTAATAAAATCTTATCAATGTTCTCTTACACATGCAAAACAACATTATTAATCTATGACCACTTATACAATAAAGTTAATTGGCCATTAATAAAAAGCGAAAGTCCATCTTCATTTACTAGCCAATTACATGTACCAAGGAAACATCTGCTAGGGTCTTTTGAAGGATCAAACATTACAAAATTTCCATGCGAAGCAGTTGGATTAGCAGCACTTGTGTCAATAGAGAAACTAAGTTCAAAGCCAGAAGGGACATTGTCTTTGCTAATGTTCTGTCCTTGGGCTATGCATTGAAAAGATAAGGGAGAGTTCAATCGACTAGAAATAGATACTGGGTAAACTGTAGCTAAAGAAGAAGCTAGAATTTGTAGCAGGACTAGAATTGGGAGATAAAATTTAAAAGAATTCATGATTATTTTCATGTCTTGAGGAATGTGCTAATTGTTACTTGGTTTTATAGTTGTCATGGTTTACTAGTTAAGTAAATTGTTCAAGAAAAGATTAAAGTAATTAAATTGGGAGGAAGGGAATTGATTGTATTTCAAAAACTTTGGCAACACAATGAATTAGCATTATTTCTATAAACAGGAAATCCTAGAGGAATTTGGTAATATATTTGTTGTTATCTTTTGGTACCTATCATTGTTTTAAGACATTTTTGTGACTCGCTTAAAATTCACTTATGGGTAAGGGTAGTAATTTGAGCCCAAACTCATTTGACCCGCCCAACCTGTTTAAGGTTGGGCTGATTATTGACCCGTCCATTTATTGATCTCAGCTCATCTTGATCCAACCCATTTCAATACATCTAATGCGGGACTGATTTTTAGCCCAAATTGATCCATGAGTAACTTTGTTAAAATAATTTTAAAATAATCTTTTTGTTTGCTATATTATATATGACTATAATAAGAGAAAAAAAAAATTCTTATTTGATCATTAAATAATTCATAAGAAAATAATACACATTAATTAACGCTTGGTAAAAATTGGACGGGTTGGGCTATGACCCAAATTACAGTAAAAATGGCGTGTAGTAGCCACTAATTAAGGGTGTCTTTAATTTTTATCCACTAATTATAATGCTCAGCAAAAATAGCCACTACTAATAGAAAAAAGACAATTTTACCCTTTCTTCCTCTCTTTCGCGTTGCATTTTCATCTGGAATACCCAAGCGATTTCACGGTCGGCCTCCTCCATGCTTGGTCAATAGCATCAGGTCTATTAGTGACCCCAATTACTAGGACATAACCAGGTCCATCATGAGATCCTTCTGATTTTGCTTCACTATTCCTTTTACCAATACGTACCGTAGTTCCTTTTGCATCATCAAAATTTTCAAGTTCTGAATTTTTGAGCAGATGTCTCAATTACGTACAGTAATTTCTTTCTTCTTACCTTGTTTTTGTTTCTTTTGAGTTCAAAGATTAAAAGTTAAGGACATGAGTCTTTAAGTTTGACATGCAGGTTTAAAAGTTAAGGACATGCATTCCTTAAATTTGACATGCAGGTTCAAAAGATAAGGACAAACAATCCTTAACTTATAGTTTCAAGTTCAAAACTTAAGGACGTGCAGTCCTTAACTTATAGTTTCAAGTCCTTAACTTTGAGTTTCAGTTTCAAAAGTTAAGGACAGGCAGTCCTTAACTTATAGTTTCAAGTTCAAAACTTAAGGACGTGCAGTCCTTAAGTTATTGTTTCAAGTTCAAAACTTAAGGACATGCAGTCCTTAACTTTGAGTTTAAAGTTCAAAAGTTAAGGACAGGCAGTCCTTAACTTACAGTTACACGTTCAAAAGTTAAGGACAAGCAGTACTTAACTTACGGTTACAAGTTCAAAAGTTAAGGACAATAGGTCCTTAACTTTGACTTACAAGTTCAAAAGTTAAGGATGCTTGGTCTTGAAGTTTGAGTTCCAAGTTCAAAACTTAAGGACATGTAACCTTGAAGTCCTGAACTTAGAGTTCCAAGTTCAAAAGTTAAGGACATGTAGTCCTGAAGTCCTGAACTTAGAGTTTCAAGTTCAAAAGTTAAGGACATGTAGTCCTGAAGTTAAGGACATGATCAGAAGGGTATTTTTGTCCGAGCAGTTAAAGTTTATTAAACCAGTGGCTAAAGATTAAAGACATTTAAAACGCTGGCTTTAAATTAAAGACATAAGCTGTTAGTGGCTATCTGTGCACATCGCCCAAATTACAGCCCAATTTGACCCAATCCATCTCAGCCCAAGTTACTCTTGGGCGGGTCATACCCAAATTTTTAGCCAAACTTGACCCAACCCATCTCAGCCCAAGTTACTTTTGGGTGGATCATTTAACCCGCCTATTTGACACCCCCTACTTCTGGGCAAGACATATATGGGAGATTCTTGTCTCGCGAGGCTTATGCTCCGAGAACGCGAGTGTATCTTCCAAACACGCTTAATGCTCGACATTGCCCAACAGGCTAATCATACATGAATGTTCCTAATAAGACGTAATATTGACACATAAAATTCTTTAATTACTAAGTTACTCATCAAAATTTCTATTCATATTTTATCCAACTATGAAGTTTCAGAGAAACTTAACTCAAATTTTAAGTACTAGTGCCACGTACTCTATAACTGAGAAAATTGTGAAGGGGAGCTCCAATTGAATTTTTCTTCTAGAAATAGTAGTTGAAGTTCATGCTTCATTTGTTATTGGTCTTTATGCCTTAGTTCTGTATATCTTAAAATTTCGTTATTTTATTCTCTTCTATTTGAAAGCATTATCCTTTTTCTATGTTAACTGAACGGGAACATAATGATTTAACCGTTAAGTGCTAACGAAAAACCATGTCCAAGTAATTATCTTCAATGAATACTCATTCTAGTGATTAATATAGTGTGCCAAATTAAAGGTTGTTTCCTGATTATTTACATGTTATATATGTGTGGGTGTGGGTGTGGGTGTGCGTGCACAAGTTATTTCTTTAGGACAAAAAACTATATTGTGAACCATCTTAAATATGATTGAATCACAAACTAGAAATTCCATAGTGAAATGAGTAAACTATAGTACTGACAAAATTTCTATATTTTTTACTGGTAAGGGTATAAAATGTGCAGTGAAAAATTTAGCGAAATATTCGTAGAATCGGGATTGTACAAAGTCATGCTCTGCGGGCATAGCGAAATATACGTAGAATCGGGATTAAAGTCAGCGGTGGAGCAACGCTTCTACTTGTAGGTTCTGTAGAATTTATTAGTTTGGAGCGAAACCATATATTGGTGTTAAAAGATTTATAATTTAATATGTATAAATAATTATCCTGAACCTAGTAAGCTGCTTTTTTTTTAGAATCTAGAACCCTTAAATTCAAATTTCTAACTCCCGCCCGCTGACTAATATAATATGTAGACATTGTTTTCTGTGTTCATTATGTGAGATTATATATGTATGTTAAGCAGGGATATTAATGACTTTGGTTGACAGGGGCTATGCGTTCTGGTGCTAGTCACCCGCCAATGGATTTTGGATTGTAACATAGAAGAGTTCTTTCATTCACTAATCGTCATATGTGATTACAACAACAACAGTTCCATGTTATATAAGACTCCTAAGTCTATTGATATACGGAGAGCAATATAATACAAGTCCGTATACTACAGGGAACCTAAACCCACAACAAATAGATAAATTTAACCAAGATTCTACTTGTT